CCTTGCTTGGTGTGTGTAACCTAGGTCACACCCTTGGAACCAGCAGACAACTCACCTCATTTTTCACACAAACAGTCCACCAAACGCGAATAACACTGTAATGACCTCCATCCTCGTCTTAGCCATGTTCATGTGCATCTGTATGATTTTGTTTTGTTAAGCTTGCATTCGCAGATTTTGACTTGTTTTGCCTAAAGTAATGGTTTCTGTCTTGTTTTGTGCTTGTGAGATTTGCTTGAGTATTGCTTGTATGCTTTGTTCCTTGCTTGGTGTGTGTAGCCTAGGTCACACCCTTGAACCTCTTATACTTAGGACCATCTTGGAACCGTTTTGGTTGACCTCCACCTTCACCCTGGCATATTGGCCGAGATGTCATCATCTAGGCCGAGATGTGTATCATCTAGGCCGAGATGTTATCATCTAGGCAACCAACATCCTTGATCCTTGCACTTAGTGATCTTGTTCCTAGACTGGTATGACCTAGACCGAGGTGTGGCACATCTAGGCCGAGGTGTGGCACAGCTAGGTCAAGTGTTATCCTTCCTAGCCGAGATCATTGAGACCTTACTTGTTGAAGCCTATGTCTTGATCCGAGGTCATTGCCTTGTCAGAGTACCCTTGTCACCTTGCTTGTTATACACACTTTGTCATACTCTTGTCTTGTCATTTTGTCATCCTTTTGAGAAGACCCAATCTGGCGTTGCCACGTGTCCCAACAGAGGGTTAAGTCAGGTACTAGCTGAGAACCCATATCATTTTGTGTCATACCTTTTGCATTGTAGAGAGAAAAGCTCTAGGAAGAGGAAGAGGAGTTTAGAGTGAGAGAACTAGATCCCAAGCTTGTTCTTTAGAGTATGAACCGTTAGATCCGTGTTTTGAGGTTAGATTCTTGATCTACTCTTGTTGTTCTTTGTATATATATGATCACATTGCATGATCTAGCATGATACATGAGCCATGCATTGATTTAAAGTTTGGTTTTAGAAAGAGAAAATAATGTTCTTGTGTTCTTCAAGGAAAACCATATTTTGATCTGAAAGTTTGTATCAAGTTCCATATTTTTGTGTTTGTTTTCAAGAAGATCTTCAATTACGGGTACCCAAGTTTATGTTTTTGAACTCATCTCATGAAATCTCATATTTTGGAATAAAAGTTATGAATCTAGCATTCATGTTTTTCATGTTCATGTTCTTCATGTTCTTCAAGAGGAAACCCAGATTTTCTAGACTTCATTTCCCTAAGTGTGGTCGTCGAGACCCACTCTTGCCTAGATCTCGCACCTAGGCCTAGGAGACCACACCTCGGTCAAGAGGTTTGGAACCTCGGCCAAGACCTAGTTGGTACCTAGCATATTTTCCCGAAATGAGAAACAGTGTTTTAACTCCCAACACATGTTTTGCTTTGTCTTGACTTAGTTTTGAAAGAAATGCCGGGATCATTTACACTCATGTAAAGCTTGTTCTAGGGATGCATTTCATATCCATCTTTGAGCATCTCTTCTTGTCTTCTTGAAATGCATTCAATGAGATTTGTTATGTACTTGTAGGCATTGGATTCTTGCCTTAATTCCTGCACCCGAAAAGCTATGTGAGTGGTATTTTTAATAAAGCTATGTTATAATGTTTTGATAAAAGCTTTGCTTTGCTTTGTTTTGGAAAAGTGTTTGATCAAGTATGAATGATTATTTCTAGTTTTGTATTAAGTATTATCTTATTTTGATGACATTCTTGGAAAGTCCTTAGTGCTAAAGGACTATAATGCAACTAGTATCCTTGTTTGAAATATCTCCCTTGCCACCGACGGTTTTGTACGGGTGGGTTTGCCTAATCGATTCCGGGTCGATTATTCCCTTGTTTTGTTAGGAATGTCATCCCTTGTATTATATTGATGCTAGTAAGCATCCCTTGAAACTTTGAAAGACTCGATAGATGAACTTGGTTCATCCTTTGATTTGTACAAGATATGCTATGTATTGTTTTGATAAAGATCTCGAATATCATTCATTCAAATCTTTATTACTAATATCATTCACTGAGTATCCAAGCTCACCATCTCCTTATATATATGTTGGTGACGAGCAAGAAGGCGGTGACGCCTAGATGTATTTTGCAAGGTGTGTTCGGATTCATATTTTGCTAGCATCTTGAAGATTATACTTCTTAGTTTTGTATTCCATGTCTTTTGTATATGTCGGCTTGAGAAGCTTTTTGATCAAGATGTAACATGTACTTTATTTTATTTGTATTCAAGTTGTAAACCATGTTAAATCGTATGTCATTTCATTTGACTTATGCACAGCTCTTGTGAGATTTAGATTTAATTTATTACTTCCGCACATGTAAGTCTCATATGTATACTCTGATTGTGTGTGACTTAGTAAGTTGGCCTTTGGTAATCTCGGATTATTGGCCATCATGGCACCATTCTACTAGGAGTGGAATGGGGTCGTGACAAACACAATGCACGGGCAACATTTATTACAGTTGTACTGCAACCATATGTACACACCAACATCATAAATGTATCAATCTCCTGTAAAAACACAACAATACAACAATCAACAATAATCCAAAACGATATGAAAATTTATATTGTGCAAAAATTAGATGACTACGTGTTAAAATCCATAATTCACATTAACAAGATGTGAATATTCACATTGATACATATATTCTTAATTATATCACTCACACAGAGCCTCATTAAGCAAACATCAAAGTAAAGTGAGAACATCCACATTCTTCACATAATATTAACATGATGTAAACATTTACATTGATGTATATACTCTGAATTATATCACCCACACAGAGTCTTATTAAGCAAACATCAAAGTAAAATGAGAACATCCACATTCTTCACATAATATTAACACGATATAAACATTCACATTGTTCCATATACTCTGAATTATAGAACATCCACATTTATCACTAATCTGATGACCTCCCCTCCACAGGACCACGATGTAAACATTTACATTGATCCATATACTCTAAATTATATCACCCACACAGAGCCTCATTAAGCAAGCATCAAAGTAAAGTGAGAACATCCACATTCTTCACATAATATTAACACGATGTAAATATTTACATTGATATATATACTCTGAATTATATCACCCGCACAGAGCCTCATTATGGATACATCAAAGTAAAATGAGAACTACATATTCTTCACATAATCTGAATGACCTCCCCTCCACAGGACCACGTGTGATGCATATAATTGAAAAAACAGAGCATCCGATCCATATCAATAAAAAAATAGAGCATCTAACCCATTATACAAATCAAAACATGAAGTGAACATGTATTCATAACCAAAATGATACTAACCTTAATCATGCAATCCTACAATCGTCCAGTAACTCGAAAACAACTGCTTTGAAGTAGTTATACTCCAGAAAATATGACAATCGAACACCTTCAAATTCGTCGTCTTCACTTGAAAATCACCGAACCAGACTACAACAGCAACAATGAAACCCTAGCACATCAAAGCCTCAGAACGAGCATACAAGATAGAAACGTATCAATCTGAATTAGACTGATGATGAAAAGCGTAAAGATAGAAACTGTCAAAACTGAATCAACGAAAAAACAGGGAACGTGTTATGCATTAACACAGTATATATATATATATATATATATATATAAGGGCATAATAGTCTAAGTAAAAATACAAAATTAGTAAAATAGACTTTATGGAATAAAAAGAAAAGTATATGAGACTAATCAGGTTATAATATTCCTTTGTAGACCTAATGGGTTATAACAACTCTAAAATGGATTTATCAATAAAAATCTCTATATTTTTCGTATTTTTGTGTATTTATTAGTTTTTAATTTTTTTTTCACAAATATTTTACTTTTTAGATACATCTAAGTAAAATGTATCTAAAAAAGTAAAAAAAAATACTTAAAATTTTAAAAATATTCATTAAACACAAAAAATAAAAAACTCAATTTTTAAAAAATTTAATTCAGAAAACTCAAATTAAACACACTGATTTATTTTTTTGATTCAACCTCAAACATTTTTTTTCTCCATTTAATAAACAATTGATGATATGACCCATTTCTTGAATATGCACGAGAGCACAGCAAGTTTCCCATATTTTTGGGGGGGCAAAATGGGCTTCTTGATCACGATGACGGTCAGTTTAATGGCAGTCATCAACTTATTATTATATATAAATTTCTAAGTGAAGTTGAGGCAGTGAAAGTTAAGACTGTATATAATAACGCTAAAATTGTCAAAATCACACCGAACTAAGTTGAACTGTGCATTTTTTCGTTTATGAAAGTTTATTAGGCAGGTTGTAGGTTCAAGAAAGGGGGGTTAGCACAGTAGCAATTTATCAAAACCAACCCGCCATATATCGACTCGACCCGTTGTTTCCTTCTAGCTACTACTACTAATAAGGTAAACTACCAATAGGTCTCAATAGTTGAATTTAATTCTCATCAAGTTCTGTTAAAAATAAGTCTTAATAAAATTATCACAAAAAATAATTTTTTGTGATGATTTTTGCACATGTCATTAAAAATTGACAATTAGTGACCTTTTTTTTTGTCACGATTTTTATAAATTGTCGCTAAAACCTACAATTAGTAACATTTTTTTGTAATGAATTTTTCAAACTATTAGCGACTTTTTTTGTGATGTTTTAACTGTCGCTAAAATTTATAATTAATGACATTTTTTTATGATAATTTTCAAACTGTCGTTAAAAATTAATAATTAGTGATTTTTTTAATAGTGATCAATAAAACCTTTTTAATTATCATAATAAATTCACTTATTAACATAAGTCTCTAGCCAATATATGTATACCAGGTTACGTTATCAAACTATGTTGGTTTGGAATATTTTAAAAAAGTGTATTTTTTATCTTTTTACGAAAAAATGTGCAGAAAAGTAAAGAGGTAATGTGATGAAAAAAAGATAAAAAAATAAAAAAATGAATTATATAAGTTATGCCAAACGAGACCAATTGTAAACACACTAACAAACACACACCCACTAATTCTCATTAAGCGTAATTCACGCCCCCAATCCATCTCGTTTTATTCGTCGTCTGTTGCTTTTCGTCTCCCCGATCGGCGCCACTAGCCTTTCTGCCACTGCGCCACCGCCACCGCCGCCGCTTCAGCTCTTCGCTCGTCGTCGCCGCCGCTCTTCGCTGGTGGTACGTAGCTCTCTCTCTCTCTCTCTCTGATCTTTCCCTTTGCTCTTCTCATGCCTGTATTTAGGGTTATTCAGCTTGGATTATGAAATTGCGATATTGAGATTGAGATTTTAGGGTTTATTTTAATTTCTTTGGGTGTGGTTTTTGTTTTTCTCTGCATTTGTTTTCTTCTGGTTAGCCATCCTACATCAAATGTAATGTCAGGTATTTATTCATGATCCAAGTGGTAACACTGATTGAGTCCAACAAATCCTCACAACTTTGTGTCCAGAACTAGTGCCATAAGTGGCTTTGTGGACCTTAAAATTGGGGCAAACCACGGTAGGGACAATTGTTAAAATCGAGGAAGATGAAGATAATACACCTTACTCTGTTGTTACTGCTCTTAACTTGAGAAGATATTAGGCAAGCAACAAACATTTTTAAAATTTATCTGTTAGTGTTCCTTAGTTGCTTAGCATTGTCTTTAAAATTGTTGCAATGGTGTTCCTTACATGTTCCCATTTTGATTTATAATTGGTTTCCTTTCTTTCTTTTGGGTTTCTTATTGAACCTACAGCATAAGAATACTGGACAGAAAGAAGCAGCAAGTAACAGTAGTGAGGAGGCTGTAGTATATGTTAAGTCAGAAGATGATTTTTTTTATCAGGTACCAGTTTATTGCTATACAGAACTTGTACCAAGTCCACAATAAATTTCCTGATTAGTTTTTTGGATCCATTTCAGCTCAGTTCATGGTCCTTTAGGTTCCCATTGCACACTCAGCAGCTTGCATCTCATGAGGTAAGTAGCAGTGATCTTAGCGATTTGAATTATATTTTTTATAAACCGTCAATCCGCCCAAACCGCAAGTCAAAACCGTCATTATTTGCCAACTGAATTGCCGGTTTTTGATAAGAAAAATGGCAATTTCTGATGACACTTTTATCAATCTGCTATCCGCCGTATGATTTCTATTTTTCTCCTAAACCGCACCGACTTGCACCCCGCACACACCTAGCAACCGACCTATTAGTACATATAAAAATCTAAGCGAAGTGCAGGCAGTGAGAGCAGGCAGGCAAACAAAGAATCAATTTGGACTACGCCGAATTGGCAAGTAGTCTGTATTATTCTTGTGTATTCAATCACCATCATCGAAAGAGGGGTTGTGTGGAGATGAGGATAGTAGGGTTGACTGGTGGAATCGCATCAGGGAAGAGCACTGTCTCCAATCTTTTCAAGTCTCATGGCATCCTCGTCGTCGATGCCGACCTCGTCGCTCGCGTAATTTCATCGATCTATTTCCTCTCTTGAAATTCATCTTCTTAAACCCTAATTTAAATTATTTTTTGAATTTTGATTATATGATTTGTAGCATCCTATTTCTATACTTGCTGACTAGGTTTGTATCAAAGTTCACTTTAGAAAAGCACCATTTTGTCAATGTTAATAAATGCAAGGGGGGTTAATTCACAGGATGTTCTAAAGAAAGGCACTGGTGGGTGGAAGAAGACTGTGGCAGCATTTGGTGAGGATATTTTACAGGAGAATGGACAAGTTGATAGGCCAAAGCTTGGCCGCATAGTATTTTCTGATCCCGACAAGCGCCAACTTCTTAACAGGTGCACAGATAGTTTGGGTCTATTTGAATATCCAATGCATAATGAATTAATTGTTTTCTTTTCTACATTTCATATCATTTGGATGTAGTAAAGTACTAGTTTTGTTTTCTAATCTGCATGCGTCTAATGGATGTCATGTCTGGCTTGTTTCTAGATTATGGGATATTAGTATTAATTTCTTATGCTCTAATTATATGAAATTGTATGTCTGCAAGGTTTAAATTGACACCCCTTGTTAAGGACTGCATTTAGCATTGGTTTCTTTTTAACAAAATTGGTAATGAAATGCTCAATTAGATAATAATAATAAATAAATAAATAAAAACAAACAAACATATGTAAACAAAGTGGTTTCTATTACTCCAAGCAGATTCTTTAGATTACTTTAGCAAGCATAAGCAATTCTTTTAAAGCCCTGTCAGGTTTGAGCGTTGAAGTTCTGATATGACTATCATTGTCAAATTGAGTATTTTTTTATTTTTTTTGGTTGGGGGATGATAGTTAAATTATCCCCGTTAAAAACTTTTTGGCATTGCCACAAGTTTTGCTTGGTTCTAGATCACAAGAGAAATGATGTGGTATGATAGGTGTTAATTTTTTGACTAAGTTTTGGCCTTTGGCTATTATATCTTTGCAGGCTATTGGCACCTTATATTTCATCTGGTATTTTTTGGGAAATTTTGAAGCTATGGTTGAAGGGCTGTAAGGTTATTGTTCTTGATATCCCTCTGTTGTTTGAGGCCAAGATGGACAAGTGGACAAAACCCATTATTGTTGTGTGGGTTGACCCTGAAACACAGCTTCAGCGACTTATGGCAAGAGACAGAACATCCGTTGAAGATGCCAGAAACAGGATACAAGCTCAGATGCCTCTGGATGTGAAAATTACCCAGGCAGACATAGTGATTGACAACACTGGATCGCTAGAGGAACTGAATGAACGTTTTCAGAAGGTAGTAGTCCAGGTCACAAAGCCCTTGACATGGACGGAATTTGCCCTTTCCAGGCAGGGAGCTTTAGTGGCTTTTATATCAGTTTTTGTTGGTGTTATCATATGCAGGAAAGCTTTATAATGGCGGTGTTGATTATGATAGACTTACCCTTCATCTCTTTGAAATGTATCTCTGCTTTATTTAAATGGGTTGTATTCACAATGCAATTGAGGAAATAGAAGGCTGCCAAGGCAGTACATTCGTTGAAATGTGGAATTTTGTGTTTGTTCAGTGGAGAATGATTTATGGAGTCACATTTTGCAATGCGTATTTTGGTCAAGTTTGGGAAGACTAAATAAGTGCACTTTTTGACTTTTTTTGTATTATGTGTAGAAAAAGTAGAGAGGAGATGTTGATTGATGTGATCTAAAAAAGATAAAAAGATGAAATAAGTGCACTTTTTTAGGTTAGCCAAACTTGGCCTTTGTCTTAAGCTTCTAAGTTCTTTTTTATTCTAATTATTATCCTGTTGAGCTAATTACTTGAAAAGCAGGCAATGTTCTTTTAGAAGATTTTACGATGGATTATTTGGAAACTGATGACCTTCCATTTTATGTATTTTAAGGCTGGAAAAGTAAAGTGCTGTCAACGGACTGCAATGTGACCTTAAAATTGCCCAGGTATCACATTTAAAATTTACATTTCTTGATGTATTCTTTGGCTTTTAGAATTGAAATGACGATGCGGAGAGTTGGTGTGCCCTGTGAGTGCTGATTCCACTGGGGCGTTAACCATGTCATTTAAGATTAACAGAAACTTTTACCAAAAAAACAAAAAAAGATTAACAGAAACAAGTTTTTGTTTTTTGTCATACCAGAAATAGTTGCCTGAACGGCTGAAAATCTGACGTATACATACTGCCTTTGTAAGTTGATCATGAATATTTAATTCGTAAAACTGCACTCATCCATTGGATGATTGTTCTGAAAATTGTTAGTGTTTTCTGAAAACAGAAAATAAAAACCATAAAATATCCCTATTCTGGATGATTAAAATAAAATTGTGGATAGACTCTTCTAAAATGCTATCTGGAGTAAAATGGCTTGCCAATGGCCCATGTGTATGCTTTGGCGCTGTTTGGGAAGTTTGGTCTTTGTTTTTGTTTTTGTTTTTTTTATTTTTTTCACTAAAAGACAAATTGGTTATAAAATTAAAAAAAAATCAATCCAAATAAAATATCACATCAAATTCTATAATCATTTCACTTTTTATTTCACGAACTTCACATCTAACCACAAAAAAATCCGATATCTTTCAAAGCACAATTTTTTTTTTCTCTAATAATATCCTACAATTAAAAAAAACTTACAAAAAAACTCACTTTCCAAACACTCACTTTAAGTAAGCAATGAGCATCATGCCACCATCCTGCACTGCATTGTTGAATTAACCACATGAATTTTGTTTAACTGCAATTTCATTACACTGGGGTTTTGTTTCTCGTCTCTGTACAGGATTATATGCACAGTTATGTAGCACAGGAACTACTTTATCTTTGATTGGAGCTTTGACGTTTCTACATACTCCTTCCTACCTCTTATTGGTGAGCGTAGTGGTTGGCGAGTTCCCAATTTGTTTTAATGTCTTAGTTGTCACATGCTCTACTTTACTTCCTTGTTCTTGGCCGCTGTTTTATTGATCGTGCCAAAAACTCCAATAGTGATAGTCATTTTGTGTGCCTTATCTTGAGAGAGGTAGAGAAAGAGCACTTGCCAAGCTTGTCAAATATAGCTCACTATTTTTGGCAAATTAGCTATTTGGCACAAGGTTTGCCAATAACTATAATTTGGCAAGTCAAATAGCTTATCATTGGAGAGTTTCTTTGTCAAGATCTTGTCAAATTTTGGCAATGACAGCTCAAATGGCTAACCACTGCAGTTGCTCAAAGTTGGCCTTTTCATCCACATTATTGAACTTTTTAATATATGCGCAAACATCTACTGCTTTGTTATCGGGCACATTCACATACGTAGGTAGTTTAAGGACACCTACCCATCAAAGATATCTAAATCCAATCCCCCTTCAAATTTTCAAGCTTTCTTGTAGTCCGTGTCCACCATATAAGATGCAAATCTGGCTAACTCAGTGAACTTAGCCTCGTACTCAGCTACGGACATCTTTCCTTGCTTAAGTTCCTGAAACTCTAAAACCTTTCGATCCCGAAAGCACTGGGGAAAGTACTTGTCATAGAAGATCATATTAAATTGAGCCCATGTCATGTTCTTATTGCCATTTCGGATCAACAACCACCATTTTCGGGCTTCATCCTTCAGAGTGTAGGTGGCCAATAGAACTTTTTGAATCTCAGAACAGGGAAACATTTCGAATAATTTCTCCATTTCCAACAACCATGTTTCAGCCTTTAGTGGTTCAATAACTCCAAAGAAGGTTGGCTGTTTCATCTTCATAAACTTCTGTGTCAGGTTGATCGTATCATTGTTATTTGGCTCGTGTTGCGCTGGTGGCTGTGGAGGGGGCAAAGGTTGTTGTCTTTGTTGTTGTGTCAGTGTTTCAGTCAAGGCTACGAGAATTTGTTCCATGCGGCTTATTGGAGCCTTAGATGATTCAACTGTTCCATCACTTATTGTATTTTCCATTGCTATAGATAAATAGAACATTATAAACATAGGCAAATAGTATTTTCCCCCCCCCCCCCCTTTTTTTCTTTTTGTCATGTGATTAAATTTCATTCGGTCATACTGTGGTGTGCACCCTCTTGGTTACAAAGCTGTGTGTCTTTTTGTTACGGTCAAAATTATAACAATTATATTGAATCATAATTTCAGCTATGACCCAATAAATTATTACATTAGAGTTATAATACAACACAATCATAACTTAAAATAAACTTAAAATACATTTAGATCGTACATCTTACTCTGCATAATTTTTTATTTCATATATTTTTAATCTTTGATTTTGATGGCATAACAATATGAAAATTGTATAAGATAGAGGATGGAACGGGAAATGAGACCAATATCCATCCTTAGAAGGTGTCCACAACAGATTTTGCCATTCTCATGTTGCCTAGTTATTGAGGGAGAGACATGATTTGATGGGAGTTTTGTTGCCTTTGGTTTTCTGGTGTAGGTTTGTTTTGGGACCATTCATTGATTGCTGTGAAGGGCACGAGTACGCCAATAGTGAACGCAACTTTTGAGGGAGATCAGCAAATCTTATACAACAGTGAAAAGAGGTCATAACCACTATGAGAAATTTAGATGCTAGTCTTGAGGCTATAAGCTCAGTTTGAAAGGCCAAATCTACCTTCCAGTTCACTTGGTACTAACTTTTTTCTCTCTCTCTCTCTCTCTCATTCATTATTTACCATCATTTCAACAACCACTTCCCCAGCCTACCCCACCGCAAAAAGAAAGATTAATACTGTATTTAGTTAAAGAATTTAAAAAAAATGAAATAAAAAAAATGTATAAAATTATATAAAATGTAAGTATATTTTATTCATATTAAATTTATTTTTTATATTTTTTTAAATTTCTTCATAAATTTTCTAACCAAATACAATATAAATGAAAAAATTAAAAGTGGATAAATTTTTACTTTAGATTACTAATATTTATATCTTTTTTTTCAAGTCTTTCAATCATATGATTAGACCTCCACAAAAGCCACTTGCATCCTTTTCTCACGAAACTATTCCTTTACTTTAGCATCTACAAGCAGTCGTCTATAGTTTACCTTAAAAACTATGACTTATCCAATTCTTTAAAGAGAGATAGAGCGAGTGTGAGCTCCACCTTTATATGGGGATACTTTACATCATTACAATTGTATTAGAGTTTTCAAATTAAAGCTCTTAATCATTATTATTGTTTAAACAGATTTTTTTTGGGTGATAATTGTGTGTGTGGGCAGATTGCATGCATTTCAACTAACAAAACATTATTGACATGCCACAGGTATTGATATCGCTGTTGCGCATGGTTTGTTTTTCATAAAAAAATATTTTCTTATATTTGGTTACAATTTGAAAAATAATGTGCTGGTAGCCACCGGATTGTTTTGATCAATCCCCGTCTTGGTCGATGATCCCTTCACTCCAGTGAGTGCAGTGAAGAACTCGCCCCACATGCCCATTTGATTTATGGAGGTGGTGGCTGTGGTGGTGGTAGGGAAGTAGCAGCCTAGTGACATTAATAAAATTTTTATCCGATTGTTTACTCACAAAAAAAAAAATCAAAAAATATTTTCTACGTTTCAGAAAAAAAAAGTTTAAAAAATATTTTTTACCTTTTAGGAGTGAATTTTTTTCTGTCCAATTAAGTTTATTTTCCACTTACTAGAAAATGTTTTCCAATTTTCATCGTATTGAACTCTAGAAAATTGATTTAAAAAAAAAAAAAAAACAAAAACTCTAGAAAATCGGAAAGCGTTTTTCAGAAAATGTTCTATTCCAGATATTTTGAGTGAATAAAGGACGTGTCACAATTTCATTGGCTCAAAACATAAAATCTTAAAAAGGGCGAAGGTGCCAGGAGTCCATGCATATAACTAGTTTGTTTTGTTTTAAGTCAGTCCAAATTGATTATTGTTGTGTTTGAGAGCTTTAATTGGGCTGCTGCTTTTTGTTTTGGGAGATCTTTTGATCAGCCCAATCAGATGACCTCAAAATTCTGTTGGTGGGCCCATGACATATGGAAGGTAGAATCGCTCATTTCTGGCGTGTATTGACACATTTATTTATTTATTTTTCTATAAATTTGATTGTTTTTTTGGGAGTGTGGGGATTGCGATTCAAGCGATTTAAGAATAAAATTATAAATTAAATGGTGAATTAGTAGATTGACAAATCGTGATTTGAGGGATTTTGGATAGATGTCAAAGAATATTCTAATCAATTATCAAATATTTACATAATATATAATATTAACTTACACAATATTTTTCATATATATAACACAAGTTAATTTTATATAATATTTTACATATGTATAACTATAATTTGTAACAAATTAAAAAAAAAATATGTATTAACTATAATGGAGCGAAGCGATTTCAAAGACGAATTATAAAATTTAAAGTTTAATCTATGATTAGCTAATTGAATGGTACAAATTGATGCAGATCAGTGTAATTTTAACAAATTTGATAGTATTTGACACATTTGTTTGTGAAATACGATTTTAAGTAACAGCAATGCTAAGTATCATGAAATTTTTTTTATGAAAATAATCATGAAAGTTTTGTGACCATTGGATTATACTTAGAATAAAATACCACACATTAATCAAGGTAATTCAAAGATTATAAATTTTTCATGACCATCTTCATGAAAAATTTTTTATGACCCCTAATTTTTCTCTTTAAGGAATATCATTCATTTGGTTAATGAGTTTTGTGTTGGGATTTGAAATAAATAATATTTTAGTTAAAAGTGTACCCCCAAAAAAATATTTAAGATTGTCCGTTCACATATTTTCTCCATTATGAGGCTAGACTTCCGTGAAGAATGATTCCATGATATGTTTCTTCAAAAACCTAAATCTAAAACAACCATGCGACAAAATCAATCTTCAACCCAGATAAAGATATTGATGCGAGAAAGTGTGCAGGCAAATGAGAAGTGTAGCAAAAAGATAATGCGTCTGCGAGAAGGGGACCTCATGTCTAGCTTTTTTAAGTTTTAACCACTTCTACTCAACTGAAAGCTATCGAATCTCCCCAGAAACGTCGCGATATGATGATATATATAGTTGCTTAGGATCATTCTGGATAGGCGAATATTTTGTGCTGTTTGCCTCTTTTTATCACTACTATTATTCTTTTTTAAAAAGATTATTGGATGAGTTTATATATGTCAGTTATAGGATTATTGTACTATACAGTAAGATAAGATTTGGAACATTATTTTCGAAGTTGAATGGAGAATGGTTAATTTTGAACATTATCTTTAGAAAAAATTCCGTTTTTTACTTACTTTTCTCATTCTAAGAAGCAAGAAAATAGTTTCATGCATTTATGAATATGAGTCCTATTACTTTGTTAAAAAATGAAGTAAAAAATAAAATTATATATTGCTTACTTCTTATTGGCCTTGTTTGGCAAATTTTTTTTTTTTTTTTTTTGCTTTTTGAGTTAAAATTTATAAAAAGATAAAGTAAGTTAAAATAATTAATAAAACAAAATGTCATATCAAATCCATAATCATTTCACTTTTTCTCTTACAAATATCACATCTAACTTCAAAACATTTAACCATCTTTCTAAGCACAAATATTTTAATCTATTAGAAAGTTAAAAATTAAAACAGTCAACTTCCTTAACGAGGCCATTATAAGTTTTTCTTGTAGCAGTTGTTAAATTTTTAGACATGTTGTTTGGTTATGATTCTCCAATTTAATATCGTTATTATCATATTTATAAGTATTCTACTGCTAATTTAAACAATAAGAGATAAAAACTGAAGAATGGAAGATAGTTTGAAATGGATGATTATTCCAGAGTGATCTTAATTATTTGATAATTAATAATGCAAGTTGAGAAAAAATTATATATGATATAAATTGATAAAAATGATGGTGTGACAAAAAAATGGATTAAACATTTTGGCGGGGACAGTTTAATTCTTCTATACGGCCAAGCCAAGCCAGCCAAGCAAAGAAGGAATTGGGGGACAGCCTTAATGGCTTAATTGGCAGTTTCACGTGTCGTTTTGGTGGTGACTTGACATCACCACGTGTCATAGGCGAAGTGGTTTTAGTCCTCTGTGGAGCTGAGCTGGCTTCCACACCGGAGTGCCTGTCCCTCCAACTTTGGTCAATTTTTTACTCTCCCCCTTCTTATTTACTCCACTCCCTGTCCACTTAAACCTCTGCACACACAAAGCTCTCCCCCCTCCCCTCTCTCTCTCTCGATGGCAGCGAAACAAGGCGACGATCCATCAGAAGCACCCCTGAAATACCAGGTAGAGCCCTCACTCTTTTCTGCTTCCACTAGTGATTACGTACTTCTCTGGTCTTCCTAGCATTCTACACCTACTTAATTGCTCATTATTTATTTTTTTTTTTTTTTAGACGTGGGTTTTGAAAGTCGCTATCCACTGCGAAGGCTGCAAGAAGAAAGTCAAGAAAATTCTTCAGAACATTGATGGTACGTTACCTCAAATAAATTACCCTGCTTCCCTTGTTGGTTCTTCACTTTAGTCATTTTAATTGCATCTTTTGGTTTGTATGGTATTCAGGTGTTTATACCACAGTGATTGATTCCCAGCAACAAAAAGTTACGGTGACTGGAAATGTGGCCGCGGAGACTTTGATCAAAAAGCTGTTAAAAAATGGGAAACCCGTGGAACTTTGGCCGGAAAATAAGCCGAAAAAATCAGGAAAATCAAAAAACAAGAAGCAGCAAAACGGCCCTGATGGTAGTGGAAAGGTTAGTGACGAAGGTGAACAGAAGAATTTAGAAGAGAAAACTGAAAACCCCGATGAAATCGGCGGCGAACAGTCACCGGAGGATGATGAAGAAGGTGGTGACATTGAGGCGGCTGCTGCTGATCAGAATATTGGCATTGGCGGCGGCGGCAATGGAGGGAAAAAGAAGAAGAAGAAAAAGAAGGGTAAAAATGGTAATACAAATGGTGAAAATGGCGGCGGTGCAGTAACCGCCGCCGGATTTTCTACAGCTACTGAGGATGTTGTGGACCCACCTATTGGGTCCTTAAATCTAGGTCCTCTATCTCAGCTCATTAACCACCCTTACATTCCTCCACTTCCAGCTTATGGACTGAGCTACAACACTTCGTATCCCAGTACTGGATCATCTTACTATGTCCCTCCGCCGCCACCGCCACCGCCGCTGCCGCACGCATACACGCACTCACGTGTACAATATTATCCACCACCTCCGCCGGCTGTTCCAATTCATGCATTCTGCAATGACAACGATGACGGCTTCATAGATGAAGACGAGGGTGGATGCTCAATCATGTGACAAAAAATTGTAAGGTGCATACATAGATTATATTACTATAAAAAAATGCTTAGACATCCTAATAAATTGTATATTAAATTATTAATTACTCGCGGTGGGTATGATGATTACACCTAATTATGAGTAATTAATAATTTAATTTTTAAATTATTAGGAGTTTGTAGGGTGATTTTGTTATTATATATTACTAGTTGTAACCTCGTTTTATGCATGAAATGCGAAAAAATTAATAACATAATTTTTATATAAGTAGTATAAATAGTTAGTCTTTTGTATGTAAATTGTAAAAATGTAAAGGGAAAATTAGTAAAATATTTTTCTTCAAGGATATGTAGTAGAAGAGGTTTAAGATTTTTTTTTATTAGTTAAAATCTTTTAATGAAATTTTTCTGTGATTATACTAGAGAAATTTTAAAATTTCTTGTGAAAATTGAAATTTCATTGTGTCAGAGCCGAAATTTTTTTGAGTCGAATCTTCTTTATAAAAATATTGAAACTATTATAAAAATATTGTATGTCATTTATCTTATAAAATCTTAATAATAAGACCTTAGAAAAAATTTCCCAAATGAAAAAGGATGAAACCAACAATTGAACTTGTTTGGAAGTTGGCATTTTTAGTGTTTTTTTTAAAAAATTTTGGATAAATTACATTGATACTCCTTGAAATTTCAGTTTAATATAGATTCTCTTTACATTTGAAAAATTATACTTATTTCCTGTCAAATTAAAATGACATATTTGTGTCTTAGTCTTTATACATATACAATAATACAATAATACAAATACTTTGTTTATGTCATTTCAAGAGAAATAACAATTATTTTCTTTGGTTTAACTCACATAAAAAATTGAGTTTTTTTTTTTCGTGTTTTTTTTTTTAATTTGTACTGAATTTTTTTAATATTTTAAGTAATATTTTTTATTTTTTAGATACACCTAATCTAGACATACTTAAGAAGTATAATATTTTGTGATTTTTTTTTAAATTCACTAAATACAAGAACATATAAAAATATAAAAATTCAATACATCATCTTATTTTGTTGTATTTAATGGATTTTTCAAAAAATTTTTGTACAAACTTTATATTTTTAAATATATTTAGATTAAATTGATTTAATCTAGATATGATGGTGGGAATAAAAATGAAAAATTATATTCATATATAAAAATTTATACAAAAATATAATATTTTGTGATTTTCTTTTTTAAAATTCACCAAACACAAAAACATATAAAAATATAAAAATTCAATACATCATCTTATTTTGTTGTATTCAATAGATTTTTTAAATTTTTTTTGTACAAACTTTATATTTTTAAATATATTTAGATTAAATTGATTTAATCTAGATATAATGGTGGGAATAAAAATGAAAAATTATATTCATATATAAAAATTTATACAAAAAATATGATAAAAATGTTTTGAAAGTGATATTGTTGTAAATATAAATCATATTTATAAATATTTTGTTTTAAAGTGAAAGGTCACCATTAAGCTATATTATTGTATTTAAAAATTCTATATAAAATTTATGTTTGTATACCATCACTGAATAAGAATATGTTCAAGTAAAATTTAATTATGAAAAGTTATAAAATAATGGTAGAAAAAAAAGGCAAGATAGTTATTTAGAAAATTTTAATGCATGATATCAGTAATTCATGAGTAATTTGTAATGAGATTATAAATCTTAAGGTGGATAATGTAATTTTTTAAATGTGAGAGGAATCTGTATTAAATAGAAACTTCATGAGTGTCAGTGTAATTTACCCTTTAACTTTTTACGAAAAGTCTCGTAGAAAAATAGATATAATTCAATTAAAAACTTGTAGTGACTTTTTTGATTAAAAATCATTTTTCTCAAGCATGGCTCTCAATTTTATCATAATAACATATATTTTATGTGTTAATTTTTAAATTATCACTGACTTAACTATATAACTTGAGAGCTTAGGTAAAAATTCGAATTAAGTTCGGATGACTCATGTGAAAACACCAAAAAAATCCTAGTAATTCGAAATCCGAATGGTATATGTAAGGGTATAAACACGGAGGATCCTGTTAAATTTTATGAGGACATAAATATGGCAGATTCTGTTAAAAAGGTCATATTTTTTCTGAACTTTTTGTCTCTAGTAAAAAAAAATTAAATTTGTATAAAAAATATTTACTGTTCAAGTCGTTTTTAGTCTAGAATGATATAAAAAAATATACAAAAAACTAAAAACAAAAAAAAAAGTATAGATTTACTAAAAACTAAAAAAGTAGAGAGAATCCTAATCCATAAAAATGAGGTAATATCATATTTTGAAGTAATTAAAAATCTTTGTACATGACCCTTTCAAGTATTAAAAAGGTCATATTTTCTTAACTTCTTGTCTCTAGTAAAAAAAAATTAAATTTGTATTAAAAATGTTTACTGTTCAAGTCTTTTTTAGTCTAGAATAATCTAAAAAATATATAAAAAACTAAAAGTAAAAAAAGACAAAGAATTTTTTTTTAAAAAATTAATAGATATTAATAATTCGAATATGTGATTTTTTTTTTCATTTTGAATATATGTGTTTAAAACAAAAATAATAAATGAAATAACAACAAATTTAAAAATGTGATTTTAAAAATCTTGCCTTATTTGGTATTTGGAAGGAGTATAATTAGAAAGTTGAGAAAGATTTCCTTATTAATTAATATTAGAAAAAAACATGAAAAAAAGTTAAACGGCCAATGATGTTTTAACATGTGTAATTTTATAATTTAAAATATATAAAATTTGAAAAAAATGGATTAGAACTAGGGGTGGGCAACGGTTTATTCGATCCGTAAAAACCGCCCAACCCGTCATTAATAATTCGAATATGTGATTTTTTTTTTCATTTTGAATATATGTGTTTAAAACAAAAATAATAAATGAAATAACAACAAATTTAAAAATGTGATTTTAAAAATCTTGCCTTATTTGGTATTTGGAAGGAGTATAATTAGAAAGTTGAGAAAGATTTCCTTATTAATTAATATTAGAAAAAAACATGAAAAAAAGTTAAACGGCCAATGATGTTTTAACATGTGTAATTTTATAATTTAAAATATATAAAATTTGAAAAAAATGGATTAGAACTAGGGGTGGGCAACGGTTTATTCGATCCGCAAAAACCGCCTAACCCGTTCAATTCGCATACAAATGGACGGTTTCGCAAATACAATGTGGGCGGATGCAGTTTGAAATATGGCATCTTTGCAGGTTGCGGGCGGGTTGCAGGTTTAACCCGCACCAGCAAGAAACCGCCCGCACTTTATTTATTATTATTATTATTATTATTATTATTATTATTATTTTATCTTAACTATTGATTTCATTTATATATCCCACCTAGATATTTTTGTCCAAAATAAAATACCCTTTATTTTTTGAACTTCTCTAGCATTACATTTGGTAATAGTATTATATTAACTGAAACTGAATAAATACTAATCATATTATTATTATTACATAACTAAACTTGTCCCGGATGAAGTGTGATTTGGAATTTTAAATTCCTTAATGAATATGGAGTTATAGTTTAGGATTTTGAAATATATGCTTGGGTTAGTTTATGATTTGATTTAAGATTTTGAATGATTTGTTTGTATTACGAATTGGATTTGTTATTTTTTTAATTTTATAAGTTTTAATTCATTAATTATTAATGTTGGAGCATTTTAGAAAACGGAGAGAAAAGGGCCCAAAATAAATATTTACAAAATGAGAAAAAAATAAGGCTCAAAAATAATTTTTTGAAGAAAAAAAGTCCAATCCGCAAACAGCCCGCACATTCGCAAACTCTATCCGCACAAATCGCAAATCGCACTACGGACGGTTGCGGATTATCTTTTTTCCAAATTGTATTAATGCGGATGGGTCTACATCAATCTACAAACCGTCTAAATTCGAACCACGAACACCTTTAATTAGAACTCTCGATTTCAATTACCTGACAATATTTTGCACTTTATAATAGTATAGATTTACATTCAACAGATATGCTGTGCGCGCGCGCGCGCGCGTCAATTCTACAATAAGTAGGGTTTGATTTGATACAAAGAAAATATTCTGAAATCAAATATATTCAATGAATTTGAAAAAAATAAAAATAAATTAAGAAATCTTTTAAAAAGTTTCATCCCCACACACAAAATTAAGATTTTTTTTTTTGGGTGATATTTTTATATATTTTGAATAATAAACATATGGAGAGAAGATTAACTTATAAAGTTAAGATAATTAAGAAGGATTCAAAGAATAAAATTTGTGAAATAATATATAATTGTATGAAAATAGGTTATGATATATTATATATAATTGACATTAAATATATATACATACAAAATGTATACATACATATATATATATATGTGTGTGTGTGTGTGTCATTACATATAGATATTATTATTTATAAATACATTAAATATAGATATATACATATGTTTAATATTACATGTAGTTACTCACATATCAAAAAGCTCAAAGTGAAAATACAATGAATAGATATTCAAACATTTATTAAAATGCAAAAAGGGATGAAAGAATTATGAATGAGTATAAAATTAACCTCTTCTAAAATAAATGGTGCATTGAATTGCTCGGTTGTATAGAGTTTTACTTTCTTTCACAAAACTTCTTATACTAGACTGCTATATTGTTTAGAGTTTTCAAAGATCTTGGTTTTTTATTTTATTTTATGAGATTGGGATTACTTGATAAGGTTGAGAGAAAAACAAATATATAGGATTGGTTAATGGTTTTCATATTAGTAGGATACATTTTAAAATTGAATTCAAGGGATCATTAAAGTTGTTTTTGTTTCTTTTAAAGTCAGGCTAACCGTAGACAGCTTTTTCTTAATTATTTAATATTATAAAAATTAACAAAATTAGTTTCAACGGATTGATCAATAATTATTAAAAGTTTTATTTTAATTTTTTTTTGAACTCAAGTTAAGCTGAAGTTATAAACACTCCCATGATAAATAAAAATTAAAAGAAGGTAAAGCATTAATAAATTTTAAATAGTGATTTTGAGAATTGTTTGGTTTTTTTTTTTTTTTTTTTTTTTTTTTTTTTTTTTTTTAATAGGTTCAAAGGTCTCATTCTAGTGTAAATTACATAAAATGTCAAGCATAAATGCGTGTGCTATGTGTTGAGGGATAAATGTGAGTTTTTTCATAATGTTGAAATTACTAAACGTAACACTTTAAAAAAA